GATACAGTACAAGCAACCATATTTGCATAATTTGCATATTATGTATTATACCTAAATAATGTAATAAAAAGGCTAACACATTTGGAAAAATCTAAAAAAAAAAATAGACAATTTTCCAGAAAAATTAGAAAACTGGAGTTGCAAAGTAAAGAACAATGGAAAAATTATTCTGTTAAAGAAAATTTTCTCCAATGATTGTTACAATGCCTAGACAGTTTTATAAGTAAGTTATTTCTAATTCACAAGGAACAGATCATTTCCATGCTCTAAAAGTGATTCCTACCATAGATAAAAGGAAGGAAATAAGCCACATTCATCGTATAAATCTAGTTATCTTGACCACAAAACCTGATACACACACAGAAACACACACACGGAAAGAAAACAAAGAGTAATGTCACAAATATAGATGCAATAATCCTAAATAGATGGAATACTTCTCTGCCATAAAGAAGGATAAACTCAAATCACTTGTAGGAAAATAGATGCATTGTGAGAGTATAATGTTAAGTGAAATAAATCAGACAAACAAGCGTAAATATCACATAGTTTCTCTTACATGAGAAACCCAAATTATAAATAAAGAGCAAAATAAAAGATAGATATTGGAAATAGGGAGATAGATCTTTCTCAAATGGGAAAAGAACCAAAAGATGGAGGGGATAAGGAAGGAGAGGGGAAAGGGATGAAAAAAGAATTAAGATTCATTAAGTACATGTATCAATTCCTCATGAGGAATTTAATCATTATATACTGCAAATATGTGCTAATAAAAAATCCCAAATAAAATGCCAGCAATCCAAATCCAGTAAGACATCATAAGCAAGGAGAGATTATTCCAGGAGTCCAATTTAATATTAGGATATCTATACACATAGTTCACCACAACAATTAATCAAAGGAGACAATCTGCAGGAATGACAGGGAATTTGTATTTTGTTTATTTTAAATTTTCTCAAGAAATTAAGAAAAACCACTAAACCAGAACAGAAAATTAGTCAAAAGAGAAGAAAATGAATGTTCACTTTCACTAATAATTAAATAAATGTAAATTTTAAAATAAGATACCAATTATTTGTAGTAAAATTGGCAAAATCCTCAGTGATAGCAAGAATTTGGGGAAAAGGAAGCATGCCACACTTTGCCTCTAAGATGAGAATTGTTACAGGGTTTGTGATGGTTACTTTTGATTATCAACTAGACTGGTTTGAGAAATGCCTAGGAAGCTAGTAAACCATACTTCTGTGTGGGTTAGTGGTGTTTCCAGGGACAATTGGATCATGAGGGATCCAACTCCATCAGCTGATTGATTCATTGGTGAGATGATAATATGATGGCTTATAGGGAGGTGGGGCCTGTTCAGAGGGAGTGGATCATGGGGTTGTGACCCTGGGGACAATATCTGGCCCTCAGTCCCATCTCCCCTGGCTCTTTCCTTCTCATGCTGCTTCCTGAGGTGAGCAGCTTTTCTCCACCATGCCCTTCCACCATGTGTTTTTGACCTGGAACTAGCCAATAATGGACTGAAACCTCTGAAACCATTAGCCAAAATAAACTTTCTTTTTCCCCTTTAAGTTGTGTATGTCAGGTATTTTGTCCCAGCACTAGAAAAGTGACTAACATTGGACCTTTAGCCATATCTATCAAGAGCCTTAAAAATGTACGTACCAGTAGAACCAACAACTGTGTACCTAAGAATTTATTCAAAGGAAACAATCAAGGGCTTCTGCAAAAACTCAGTCAGAGAACATTCATCTGTGTTGTCTACAGTAAGGAAAACCAGAAAATAACCTAAAATCCCAATAGTAGCAGATTGCTCAAATTATGGTACTTTTACACAGTGAAATTTTTGGGGGGTGGGAGGGGGTACCAGGGATTGAACTCAGGACCTCATGCTTGCCAGGCAGGTGCTGTGCCACTGAGCTAAATCCCTGGCCCAGTGAAATGTTATATAATCAGTAAAGGTGCAAAACAATAACAAACTTAAAAGGATGTTCAGAATACATAAAATGTTCAAAAGACAAAAACTAGAAATTCCATCCAACTTAGCTATTCCCTTTTTAGGTATCTTCCAAAAAGAGTTAAAGACATTATATTACAACGATACATGCACACTCATGTTTACAGCAGCACAATTCACAATAGCTAAATCTTGGAAGCAGCCTATAGGTCCATCAACAGATGGATGGATAAGGAAAATGTGGTGTCTGTACACAATGGAGTACCATTCTGCCATAAAGAAGGATAAACTCGAGTCTTTTGTAGGAAAATGGATGCACCTTGAGACCATAATATTAAGTGAAGTAAATCAGACACATAAGCTTAAATATTGCATGGTTTCTCTTCTATGAAAAAACCAAAATATGAAGTACAAAATAAATGATTGACAATAGGAAATAGCAAGATGGATCTTTGGCATATGGGAATGCAACTAAGAGATGAAGGGAAGTGAGAGGAAGAGGAAGGAAATGAGATTTTTAAAAAGGGAACTGTGAAGTGTTGTGTACATGTACCAAGTCCCTACAAGGAACATGATCATCATGTACTACAGATAGGTATCAAAAAATTACACACACACACACACACACACACACACACAAATATATATGATAAAGGGTCCAGGAGATGCAGTGAAGGGGAGGGACTGTACAGTAAGGGGATAACAAAGAAAGAGCTAAGAAATGCCATGTATATGCACCAGCTCCCCAGGATGAATGTGATCATTTTGTACTACAAACATGTACTAATAGAAATAATTTGAAAATAATGATGTTAATGACAGTAGGAAAAAAGAATAGGCTCAGCTTGTTCTGTCAACAATGGAGAGTTCATTAAAAAAACTTATGAAAGAGCACATAGAGTATAGAGAAAAGGAGAATGGGCAGTTATAATAAAATGCTAATAATACCGATCTCTAAATAGTATGAATGAGTAACTTTTACACTCTCATTTTTAAACATCTCTTTTCTACATGCTGTATGATATAGCTATGACTATAGAATGGAATACTGGGCCACTATTAACAACCTTGAATTAGGAGAACAATACAAAGTCCTAGAAAATTAAGTTAAAAGACAGACTATAAAATGGTAAATACAATTTTCAAAATATGTAGAAAAAAACTTGAGCAAAATAAACTAAAAGGAACATCAGTTATGGTTTGTTCCAAGCAGTAGGGCCACAGATAATTTGCTTATTTTCATCTTCTTACATTTTATACACTTTTTACAATACACTTTTAAATTCCAGGGAAAAATGTGTTTGCATTTCAAGAACAAATAGAGAGAAAAGGTCGAAAAATATAATAATTATTCTGTCACTGTTATGCTGTGAGGGATTTATATCGGAGCATTTTGGCACCCATAACTAAATCCAACAATTGGTCCTTGATAAAAAGGAGAACACAGATTTACAAGAAATAAGAAAAAGGGCAACGTATTAATATGCTGTCTGTGAGATTTTTAAGTATAAAGAGAAAAATCTGGAAATCAACGTATCAAGAAATTAACAATGGCTAATTCTTTTTGATAGGAATACAGGTGACAATTACTTTTATGGATGTTATTGTCTATGTACGCTGGTATTTTCCAAATCTGAAAAAGCAAGTCAAAGAGCTATGAATATTTCTACTCCGTGGTGTTGGAGCCATGGGGGCACATTTGATCCTCTGAGACTGAGGGAAAGCCAGTCGCTTCCTGGGATGGGAGGGAGCATTCATAGCTCCTAGTTTTTTCTGGTTTCCGAAGCTAAGCGTCTCACCGTATACTGCATGCCAAGGGAGCCCCTTGCCCTATGGCAACAGCCCCACAAATCAGGGCCATGGATCTCTAAACTTGCAGAGCCTCCAGTCAGAAGCAATTCTCCCTTCCCATGGCTCTATCCTGTACCTCTTATGCCATCCGTCCCCTGCCATTAGACTGGGAGCTCCTGGAGGACCAGGCATATCTTGCTTCTTTGCCTACCCTAGAGCCTTACGTAGCGTTAGATATTTAATGAACATTTATAAGACATAGACAAGCAGGCAGGTGTGAAACATCATGACTTAGAAGTGGAGGGACATGGATACCAGCAACCCCGAAGCATTTCGTCCTCTTGGGAAAGCACATCCCAGACCATGGCTTGGCCACTTTTTCTGTGTAGGGCTGCAGCAATCTCGTGGGTAAGAATGCCACCTAGTGGAATGGTGTGGGCATAGGCAGTGATGACAGCAGGTCAAAGAAAAAATAAAAGCTGTTTCAAACAGACCTTTGGAATAAAAATATTCAAGCCAACAACAGTAAATGCAATGGTGAGATCTAGACAAACTATTCATGTAAGGACATGGCAGCAATGAGGTCAACATGACACGAACATATAAACTTATCTGTGACATGGATTTCTTTGTTTCAAATTGAAGGAGAATGCCTTATCTCATTGCCAATTTAAGCCTGAGGTTCCAGGTTCATACTTACTGCATGTTCCTGTGGATAATACGGTAGTACAATAACTTTAAAATTATTGTGCTATTTTCAATATTATCTAAGCTCTTTAGTGTGAAGATGATAAAATCTGTCTACCACAATAAAATATAAAGGGAGAAGTCCCTCTGCTAAAGGTTCATATAATGAAAGATATGGAAAAAACAACCTTTTCTTGAAAGAAAACCAATTATTTAAGTATTTTCTGGATTTTTCAAGACACTTATTTGTTTTCTTAGAAGAAACTTTTAACAACAGAAAAATCTTTTTTTTTTTTTTTTTTTTGGTACCGGGTATCGAACTCAGGACCTTGTGCTTGCAAGGCAGACGTTGGCACCACTAAGCTAAATCCCCAGCCAGACAACAGAAAATCTTGAGTCAAAATTACACAACCATTTATCTTTTTCCCTTCAAATTTAAAGCAGATGGTAGTTGTCAGATTGAGTGTAGGGGAATCCCTGTTTCCTCTGGCATCAGAATGGAATAAGCCCCCACTTCTTAAGCACACATGTAGCAGGTCTGAAACCACACATGATCACATACCTCTGACTTGATCTGTGTGAAGGGACGGACATTCTTGATGTCCTTACAACACTGGAGACAATCACTGTGGACTTGGAGCTTCATGGAATCACAGAGATTTGATGGTAGCAAAGGTTTGACACCCACCTTGAGAAGCCCATTGTCAAGTAACTTTGAAAAACAAAACAAACATTTTGTTTCAGTTCAACTAGGAGAGATTCTAGCCAGTATAACTAGAGAAACTGTATAAATAAGAGGTCATAATAAAGTTAGATAATTTCCACAGAACTTTTCACCTAACATGCTGAAAGTTTCTGACAGTCTTAGTTACTTTGTCATTGCTGAGACACAATTTCCAACACCCACAGCTCTAAAGAAAAAGGATTTATTTTGGCTCACAGTTTGTAGACGTTGTAGTCCATAGTCAGCTGGCTCCAAAGCAAGGCAGCATGGCAGAGGGGCACCGCAGAGGAGAAACAGCTCATGGCATGGTGTCAGGAAGCAGAGAGTGGGCAACGGAGGAGGGAAGAGATATATATCCAGGCCATGCTCCATTGATGAGTGTCACACTCCATCATCCAATCACCTCCCCAAAGCCCCACCTATGAAGGCATGAAGCTTTGAGGGAACTTGTAGATGTACACCATAAAGCTAACTGACCTCTTTTTTTGCTTGTCAGAACTTGGCAAAACCTACAGGTTCTAGCTATAATAATAGTCTTAGAATCTAACTCTGGCAATGTCATATTTCTCCACTAACCCTGATCAAAAACCTTCAATGCCTCCAGATCACCTCCTGTAAAACATCGAGCACCTCAATATTGCATTTAAAGCCCATAGAAATGTGCTCCCAACCTACATTTCTGTATATATTTGATATAATTTTACTATCATGAGCCTCTGCTCCAGCCAAACTAAATTTCTCACTCTTTGGCTATATTAATATATGTTTTCAACTTTCTAGCGGTGGAAAAAAATCAGGTCACCTTCACAGGTCATTAAAATCATGCACAAATGCTTTAAAAGCCATAACCAGAAGAAAAGTATCCTCAGACTTGCTATCACAGAAGATACAACCATTGAAGGATGAATCAAAAGTTCATTTCTCTCAGCACCTGACCTGAATTATTCTAATGCCTGTTCTGATACTAACTAGTCCAGTGCTTTCTTAATGTTTCTGGAGTTTTGACATTTCTTTGATTCTGCTCAAAACAACTATTCATATTATTTTTGTAAAATTCACCCACTCCCTCCTCAAAGTGCTGCAAGTTTTCAAAAAGTTAAAATTAATTGAAATAAATTTGGCTCTGAGAATTTTAGAGCAATTTTGTGAGACATTTTGAAATCTTATGATATACACTGGAATGTGCCAAAGATGAAGCTGAGAATCAGTCTTGGCTAATATGTTCTTCTCTCCAAATGTACTGTTTCCACCTACAAAATGGGAACTACTGATGTGCCTACTCTCTCCCAAGTCTCCCAGCCTGGATATTATGAGAACACATGGCATATATAAAGAATTTTGCTTTCCTCAGAATAAATGAAGCATATATAATCCACATTAGGCAATTTAGCAATAATGCTATCTCCTTGTGCTAGTAAACATTCTAAATATTACAAACAAAATATGAGACAAAATCACATTGCTTGACAACATAGAGACATAAAATTCTTTCAAGCTACAAAAAGACATTTATTTTACAGAACCTACCTTTGGAAGTCACAATACTTGGGAAGGTACAGATCCAACATCCAACCAGAATTGCCCTTGGGAAGGAACTGGCCTTCAAGACTGGCTTTGTTGTCTGTGAACAAAAGAGTCCCTTTAGAACTAGGGATGTGAGTTCAGGATTTAAGAATATAGGATGTAATAATTTCTTCTAGATTCTGGGTTTAAATGTTTCTGCAGAAAGATTAGAAGGAAGCCTTGGGAGGAGAGGCTGGGAAAAAAAATAAGGCTCCCTTTTCAGGAGTACATTTTGTCCCCACAAAGCTATTTTGTTTGCAATCATAATTTAGCGAATTCTTTTGATGGAATTCTTTTATTGCAACTATATCTAGGAGGTTGAACTTTCCCAACATTGTTCTGTAATGCCAACTCTAATTAAGAGCTCTACAATTCACGAGCCCCAGACCAGAGGGAAGGTAACAGATCATCTAGGCTACCACTTTGCCTTCCTGCTGAGGCCCATCTCAAGTGGACTGGGAAAGAATCTGAGTCATACTAAAAGAACTACAAAAAGAATCTGTTAAGGACCAAATATTTGCACCCTTCCAAAATCTATACAATGATATCCTGACCTCTAATATGATGATATGAGGAGGTGAGGCCTTTGGGAAACAATTTGGTCAAAAGGGTGATCCTCTCATGAATGACATTCAGTGCCCTTATTTGAAGAGGCCAGAGAGTTAGCTCACTCTCTTTGTGGCATGTGAGTACTCAACAAGACAGTAGTCTGCAAGCCTAAAGAAGCCCCTCACCACATGATCAAGCTGGGACCCTAATCTCAAACTTTCAGGCTAATAAATTTCTGCTGTATATAAGTGCTATTGTTTGAATGTGTGTATCTCAAAAGGTCGTGTGTTGGAAACATACTTCCTTAATGCAGCAGTGTTGGAAGGTAGGGCCTAATGAGAGATGTGGAAGTGGGTTGTTATAAAAGTAAGTTCAACTCCCTCAGCTTTGCTTTTTCTTGCTGACTTGCTCTCAGTCTTTCCCTTTCTGCCATGTAATGTCACAGCATGCCAGAGGCCAGCACCATGCCCTTGGGCTTCCCATCCTCCAGAATTTTGAGACAAATAGACTTCATTTCTTTACAGATCACTCAGTCTGTGGTATTCTGCTACAGCAACAGAAAATATATCAAGGCAATAAGCAGTCCAGTTTATGTTACTTTATTATAGCAGTCCTCACTGACTAAGGTAGAACCCAAGAATTGAATGCCTATCTTAAACCAGAAGAAGATCTCTGAAGATTACTTGTTTTACTCTTCTGCAGACAGCAAATGTATTGTGCTAATTTTCTGTAGGCTTAATATTAAGAATTTATCAGTTAGTAATTTCAGGTGAAAATAACTGTGAAGTAAACTACACATTGTACTTTCTCAAATATTATGACTAAATAACTTAATATCCTATGACTATTTTTGCACATGATAAAAATGTTGGCATAAATTAGTTGCTAGCAAATGTGAAAGTGTTAGACAGTCCTTCCAGCTTCCTAAGTATTTATTCTTCTTGCCCATTTTGTTGAGCAACTGCTTATGTTATTAGGTACCTCTGCTCTTACCCAGAATAATGGGTGATTTTCACCTTTCAGAGGAAGAACCCTTTAAAAGACTCATAAGAAATCCTGGAGGATGGATTGGCACATGGTTTCCCCTAGGAATTCCTCTGTGTTCAGAGAAGGGAGTCTATTTTAAACCAAGGACATCCTCAGACCTGACTAGATAGCGAAACAGGAGGCTGCAAGTTCTCCAGATCAGGAGCCAGGAAAAACCAGACAGCATAGTTCTGGACTTCTAAAATCTTCATTGCTCTTCCTTCCTCAGACACAGGAGCTCAGGAGTTTCACATCTCTCAGAACTCAGGGTGTGAGCTGTCAGACAAGCACAAGGGAAAGATCTCACATTTCTGAAAGAGCTCTTCATGCAGAACCTAACAAGCTACCTGTATGGGACAGTGAAAAGAAGATCACTACATTGGATGATACGTGGAATTAGACCTCTTCCAGTCCTATGGCCCAAGGGATGAAGTGAGCAGCAAGCACTTTGAAATTTACCAATGACTTTTTCCTCTCCACCCCCAACTAACAGTTGTTCTCCCAACTGCCTTATAAAGTCAGTGTTGTTGGGATGACTTTAGAGCTGAGGAAATTTATGCACATAAAGTTGAGCAAGTGGCCTAGACTCATGCAGCTGGTGAATAAGTAGTAGAGCTAAGATCCAAACATTCATTTTCATGACAATGTAGGGCCTGGAACAAAAAATAGTTTGCAGGGGTTTTTTGGCCCTATCACCCTTTCTGGAGAGCCTCCAGATTTCAGACCTTGCAGAAAACACAATGTAATCTTCTCTTGCAAACTTTCTGCACAGCTGTGAAATATACAGCCAAGAAGAGTGTCCTTGGCACTGTGGCAGTAGATGCACTTCTAACTCTTGTGAAACCTCCTCTTCCCTGGTGGATTCCTCAGTATAGAATTCTATATCTCCAAAGAGAGACATTGCTCCTATGATTTATTGCCAGTGCCTATGTCTAAGGCCTTGAAAACCAAGAAAATTAACCAAGAGGAAATAACTTTGAAGATCAACACCACTATAGGCTTTATAATGACCAGAGGGTAGCTTCATTCATTCAGATCCTAAAATATAGAAATTAGGACTAATTTATCTTTGAAGTATCTATGGGAAACTAGTTTTTACCCTAATCAATTTATATTAAGTGATATAATTGTACACCTTTTCTACCCTAAAATAGAGTTCAAGAAAGTGATGTAATGATATAACCCAATTGCCCTCACGTTTGGTCATATTTTTCACCTTTATGGGTCTTTCCTCTTAAAGAGCAGTGGTGGGTTTATCTGCAAAGCAATTTCAGGGTTCTAATGAAAAGTGAAGGGAAGAGAACTAAGGCCAATATTCTGCCAGTTTCCCTCTCCAGATCATTACTGAATTTGGAAACTGTATTAACAAAAAAACCCTAAGAAATAAACTGTTAAACTGGAATTTTATGCCTGGCAAAAAATATCTTCTGAAACTGAAGGCAAGATTGAGGGGAAGAGAGTGGCAGCAATAAAATGAGTTTTTGATCTCTCTGAATCACCTATTTTTGAAGTGGATAGAGTACTAGAATATTTTAAAATCACATACAATATCCACAACAAAACTAGATGACTAAGAATATCGATAAATCCAAAATATGAACAGGTAGAGACAATCCATTAACATCTACTTGATAATGCAATACTGATATCTACTAAGTAGAAGCAGAAGGAATAAATGTGGGCATCTAAAATACTTGAAAACAAGAGTACCCCCAAAATAGTCAATATGTACCTTACTTGCAAAGCACAGCAGAACATTTTGGCAGCAGCAGTTTTAAGAAGGAGGAATTTTGCACACTCCAATGTGTCAGAAACTACAGAGATCTGAAGGGTTGGAGTGGTCTGAATGAGGAAAAAAATCTAAAAAATTCACTAGGCAAGAGTTACCTTTCTCTTTGGATAACCTAGAAGAAGCATCATTCCCACAGTGAAGACCAAAAAACGCCCAACTAACTTCAAATTTATGAATTTTTTCAACACACTGGAGAACTGAGTTTGCAGAGCAACAAATTTGCCCCAAATTTGAGAAGATACAGTCCCTACAGGAAGAGATAAGATGGGCACAGTCACTTATCTGGGGTAATCCTACCAAACCAGTGAGAAAAATTCATCTAGAAACATTCATGAATTGGTAAAGGTAAAATATGGGCTGATGCAACAGTGTGAAGCCTCCAAGGGCCTCAGAAATTGGAGGAGCTGCACTCTCTTGCAAGTTCTTTCTCCTTGAACCCCACTGGGTGCTTGAAGGAAATATCAGACAGAGCCTTTAAAATGAACTCACTGTGGTGGAGATCTTGAGGAGAGGAAAAACAGTCATGCAGGAGAAGTAAGAATCGTTATCCTACGGATTTTCCCTATCTCAGCTAAGAAAAAATACCTTACTTTATGGGGAGGAAGGACGACAAACTTTGTCCCCTTTAACACACTGGTGGGAATTCACTGCACTTAGGAGGAGGAAATGGGGAAAAAGTACTCCTGAGGGAGGGCACAAAGAAGTACTGGGCCTAGAACTACATAAGGGAAAAGGCAAAAGATGAGAAGGCCATGCTTCTGACACGCTGGGCTTAAACAAAAAACATCATCTTCCCACTTCCCCACACCACAAAGCAAACCAGTCCAATAACAAGAGTTACTAAACACTAAACACTAAACACCTAGCAGAAGGAAGTGTGTGATGCCTGATTCCAAGCATAAGAGCCATTTACCTTTGTCTTTACCATCCTACATAAGATGCTTGGCTTCAAACAAGCAAAGAAAGAACGAAAGAAAGAAAGAAAGAAAGAAAGAAAGAAAGAAAGAAAGAAAGAAAGAAAGAAAGAAAGAAAGATGAAGACACATAAAATGGCAAGAAAAATCACACTCTCAAGAAACAAAGTGATCAACAGAACCAGAATCTGACATGACAACAGTGAACCTACAAAACAAAAAATTTTAAATAATTATGGTTAACATGTTAAAGGTTCTAATAGGAAAGTTGAACATCATGCAAAATCAGCAGGTAGCTGAAGCAGAGAAGTGGAAATTGTAAGAAAGAGCTAAATGAAAATACCAGAATGAAAGTAATTTCAACAGCAGAAGTGCATGGTAACTTCAATAGGCTCATCAGTAGTCCCAAAATAACTAAAGAAAGAATCAGTGAATATGGAGATCAATCAACAGGAATTACTCAAATTGAAACATAAAGAGAAATTAGGAAAAACACAAAAGAATTCTAAGATAATTCAAACCAGTCTAACATGAATACAATTGGAATCCCAGAAGATAGGAAGACAGGATAAAATTTTATTTTATTATTTAGGAAGACCATAATGGATGAGAATTTCCTAAAATTAAATGATAGACACCATCCCATAGGTCTGAGAAGTTCAGAGGTCCTAATAAATTATCCACAGGCATATCACATTCAACTTCCTGAAAACAAAGTGTAGGAGGAAATCTTGAAAGCAACATGTGTTAGTTTTGCATTATTACAGTGAAATACCTGAGGCAGACTAGCTTCATAAATAAAAGACAGTTATTTAGCTCACAGTTTGGAACTTGAAGGGCATTGTGCTGGCACGTGCTCAGTTCCAACGTGGGCCCTCCTGCTTGCAACATGTCACAGAGGAGGCAGTGCTGGGAGCATGTGTGGGAGCTAGAAATCACAGGACAAACAGGAAGCCAGAGAGCTTGGTGAAACCAAGTTAGGCTTTGAGGACAACCCTCCTGTGAGAACCATCAATGAGTTGTAGGGAAACAAACATAATCTCTTCTGAAGATAAGGTTCCCCTGAGCTCCCAACTGGGTCCACTGCCTATGGGTCCTGCCATTTCAATATTGCTACACTGACCAAGATTCCCATACATGAACCCTTGGGGGGCATACTTAATTATATCCCACCCATGGCACAGACAGAGGGGAAAATGACACTTCATATACAAAGGGAAAAAGAATAAACATTTTGTATTTCTTGTCAGAAATTATGCAAGTCAGAATATTTTTACACCCAGAGGAAATCATCTTGATAAGATGAAGGTGGCATTGCTGGTGAAAAAAACAATTCGGCCATTAGTTTCTTCAAATGTTCAATATAAATTTACCAGGTGAACCAGAAATTTCAGTCCTAGGTAAGAAATATAATAAAGACATATTCCCACCCAAAGGCTGGCATATTTATAACATTATTCAGCAGCCAAAAAGTGAAAATAGTCTAAATGTTTATAAACTACTACACAAATAAACAAAATATGGTATCCATATAATTGAGTACTATTTAGCAATGCAGAGGAACAAAATACTGAATCCTGGCTACATGGATGAACCTCAAAAACATTATGCTAAGTGAAAGAAGCCAGATACAGAAAACTAAATATTGTATGAATCCATTTATAGGAAATTCCAAACACGACAAATCTATAAAGACAGATTGCAATTAGTGAATGCATGGGGTTGGGGGAGGGAAAGTGATTGATTATAAATAGGCATGAATTATGTTTGGGGATGCGGGCAGTGTTTGAAATGTGGATTGTGCTGATGTTTGCACAACTGTAAATCCAGGAAAATTATTGAATTGAACACTTAACAGGCTGAATTTTATGGCATGGAAATTATATCTCCGTAAGACTGATTTTTAAAATGAAGGAGAAATAAAGACTTTCTCAGAAAAACAAAAATAATAACAGAATCAGTAATAAATAAGTTTTTCTGGCCAAAAGAATAGATGGAAACATCAATCTTTACATCAAGAGTGCTAAAAAGAAATAAATGAAATTAAAATAAACTGATTTTTCTTATATTTAATTGATCTAAAATATAACTGATTGTCAAAAGCAAGCAGTAGTGAAATACTGTTCTAAAGTAGCTATAATAATATGAAACACAATGACTACAGAACAAGGAATATTATCAGAAATAAAGAGGAACATTGTGCAACAATAAAGAAGTCAATTCACAAATAAGACATAAAAACATAAATGCATGTGCACTTACCAGAGCTTAAAATACATTAGACAAAATATGACACTTCTGAAATATAAGAAGACAAATACAATTATAATTAGAGATTTTAACCCTCCTATATGAGCAATTGGTATAAAATATAGGAAGAAAATTAGGATATAGTTTACTATCTTCTAACACTATCTTCTAGCACTTATCTTCGAACCTGACTTAAGTGATGCAATTAAGAAAAATCTACACCAACATGATTTTCTCAGCTTCACATGGAAAATTCACAAAGATCAACCATATTGTAACTTATAAAACTGAACAAATTTAAGAAAAAAGAATACAAATAA